CCAAAAAAACTTTACACGATACCTTGCTTTTAAAAGTCGCGACTGTCCCCGAGGTGCTAATTATTCCACTAGACTTTCTTTTTTCAATATGACTTCCTTGGAGAGTCGGCGGAAACTACTGGATCTCATGTCTTTGCACAAGCTCATTCATGGTAGATTGACTTGTCCCGGTCTGCTTCAGCGGCTTGATCTCGCTGTTCCGTATCACATTCCAAGACATCCATCTACAAAAACATTCAGATTGCCACACTGTAGAACCAACCTGGGTAAGGGCGCCCCCTTGTATCGATGTATGCGTACTTATAACGACGTCAACGACCATGGCATCGACATCTTCCTGGATTCAGACCGTTCATTCAAGAAAAAATGCATGAGCTACTTGAAGTTGTGTGATGGCTAATGGCTAAATAGGGAACTGTTGCCAAATTTTATTTTTACTGAGTTATTATTAATTTAACTATTGGATTGTTTTGTTAAAAATTGTTTTTTTTTCTTTTATGTGTAACTACCTAGATTAATTGGTTAAAATCTGTTCTTTTTTTTTCTGTCGGCAAGCTTATTTTCCTTGAATGCTGTATTTACCTGTAAAGGCATATCTTTTAGATTCTAGCTTTCTAATAATGTAACGATGCATGTAAATTGATATGTTGTTGGTAAATCTTAAACAATAAATAAATAAATAAATNCAATAAATAAATAAATAAATAAATCTGGTAAACTGAGACTGACTTCTGTCTGACATTAAACAAAGCGGCCATCTTGCAAATTCGTTAGATGGCGTCGCTTACGCAGGATTCAATAAACTGTTTAGCCATTTTAATTAGAAGTGAGAACCCAAAATTCCTCTGTCTCACTAATAATATTGATTATATTACTTTAAAAGAGAAACTGTATAAAAAATATGTGCATTTTTCAACTCAGTTTCATGAAAGAATGATTTTTGTTTTCGGTTCCATTTTTCGCCGTCTGCATTGCGAAGTTGGTAGTTGGTAACGATACCTACTTACTAACGATAAACATGACGGCTAAAAATAGATTATAGTGTAAGCACTTCGGGGTAATACAGTCTAACCTGGAAATCCCTAGGGCCTAGTGTGAGTTTTTTTTTTATAGTAAAAGTATTACGGATTGTACAGCGCCCCTAGCGGGAAACTTTCAAAAACTAAAATTTTCATACATTTTTTAAACTCACACTCAGCCCACTGGTTAGGTAAGCCAAATCTGGATAGTGAGAAAAATCTATAACTGACAAAAACTGATTTAATTATAATCAGACCCCGCTTTTTTAAGTCCTGAAAACCTCAACGACTGAAAAAAAATCATCAATCATCTCCCCTACATGTAAAGTGGGGTAATTTTTTTCGTCATCTACCCCATTCTGTGGGGTATCGTTGGTTAGGTCTTTAAAATTACTTAGGGTCTTTTAAGATTATTTTTCGATAGGGAACCGTTTGCGAAATGTTCAAATTAAGAATCGTCGTTTAAAATAAATTTTATTCCACTTATGCCCGTTTTCACCATCAATCCCTAATTTTTAAGTGATACATATGACATCAAAATTTATGTTAATTGTTACCATAGCGCTCTCTTAAAAATTAGGGATTGATGGTGAAAACGGGCATTAGAGGCTCTAAGTTAGAGCACCTGCTGAAATTATTGATAGGTGCTAATTGGTGGAATAGGCCAGGTGCTATTTGGGCGGGTGCTCAAATTCAATGTGGTATCTGTATGGGGTCCCGTACGTAGAGGCGAAGGTCGATTTAGCGAAGTACGTTTTGGCGAAAAACATTCATTGTGGTACGCTGGAGCGAAAGGCCACTGAAGCGAAACACTCGCGGCCGAAAAAGTAGGTACCTACTTTTGCTGACCTAGGAGAGCTTAGTTTTGATTTTATTTTTGATCAATGACATTTAGTAACAATTTAATTTCATCAAAACACATCATGTTATTTTGTACATTGTTACCTATTGTCAGCAAAAGTACTTTTTCGGCCACGAGTGTTTCAATTCAGTGGCCTTTCGCTCCGGCGTACCACAATGAATGTTTTTCGCCAAAACGTACTTTGCTAAATCGACCTTCGCCACTACGTACGGAACCCATCTGTATGAGTTCGACTGTACCTATCAGAATTAACTACATACATTTGTGTGCGAGCGAAACGACGCACGCGCAGCACAGCAAGTCACTTCAATCAGGCATCTCATATGAGAAACACGCGCCAAATTATAGCTACTCGAATCCCTATTTAGTTTGTTAAATTTTTATTTTTATATCTTCATACCTACTCATCCGCCTCAGACCTTGAAAACGTAAGTAAAACACATTTTTTTGTTGTAAAATGAAAAACATTGTCTCTGTTTGTACTATGTAAATATTATATTTACATTTTTACATTAATTTCAGCGCGAAGTGTGTATTAGACGTGTAGATGTTTTTTATTAATTTTTAAAGTTTAGTTTTTAAGTTTAAAGTTTTAGGTAAATGTGTTACAGGTACCTACTTAATAACAATAATATTATCAACAGTCTAGAAGTATGTTTCTTTCTATAATAATATGGACTATCTCTGATCTGATAAAAGTATCATGTATTATCATGGTTAATAAAATAATAAATGGATCTAAGACTTCATACATTAGGTATGCGCTTCGTTTAAAGTATGCGCACACCGGTGATTTTTAGTTGGCCGATAGTTGTGCCCGATTTTAAATTGTATGAAGAATCGGCCAAATCGAATCGGCGTAGTGTGCGCCCTCCCATACATGCCCATACTGATCAACTGCCCGACTAAACTATCGGCCAACGAAAAATCAACGGTGTGCGCCTACTCGAGTAAGGCGATTCTTTCTAAGGTGTTCGAACGGGTAGTGCATATTAGACTGAGTAGTTTTATGGATAGATTCAACATCATTAGTCAGGAACAAAATGGCTTTCGGAAAGATCATAACACAACCTTAGCCATTTTTACTCTAGTCAAGTCGATAATGGAAGGTCTTGATAGTAAGATACCAGTAGCAGCTCTTTACTTTGATTTAAGCAAAGCTTTTGACTTCGTCGACCATGACCTGCTCATACGGAAACTTCAAAATTATGGCATCAGAGGAACAGCTAAAGACTGGTTCCAGAGCTATTTACAAAATAGGCAACAGTGTGTGGAAATAAGTAAGTTGGAAAAAAGAAAACGTTCCTACATGAAAATGACATACAGATCTGATTACAGGGTAAATGGGTGTGGAGTTCCGCAAGGAAGCATACTGGGCCCTATTCTTTTCATATTATACATCAATGATCTACCCAAAATAACAAAACACAAATCTATTCTCTTTGCTGACGATACTACTCTAATTATAAAGGGAAGGGATGCGGACTATCTAGAGACTGAAATAAATACAACTGTTAAGCGAGTTATTAAATGGCTAAGCGAAAATAATCTAAAAGTAAATATTGACAAAACTAAAATAATGCAATTCAGGACATATCAATCTCATACACCTAATATTAAAATAGATTATGANTAATAAATAGATATCATCACTTTATTTTTTTTAATTTTCATTCAAAATAAATTTTATAAAATCCGATTTGTATGAAAATTAAAATAATTAAACTGAAGATATCAATTTTTTGACTTCATTATACCATTTATATGCCCATGTTAACATGGGCTAGTGTCGGCTCATATACCCATTACCTAACACTCTGTATATGATATTAATATTTACTCTTGTCCACCTTTAATGAGCCTACATAGGCGTTTACAATGAATCACAAATCAATTGTATCGCCGGTTTTAGCTCCTATCGAGACACGAAATCGAATTCCTCGAGGTTAACCCTTCCATATTTCTCATTGACACATGATAAGGGAGAGTCCGCTAATTTGGACCAGTTTTTTTCAATCCCATTTTACACATAGTTTTCTTTTGTTTTTGCTAATGTCCATGGTATATAATAAAAGATACATTATTCAACTTACTATTTCATAAGNATCTACAAAAACATTCAGATTGCCCCACTGTAGAACCAACCTGGGTAAGGGCGCCCCCTTGTATCGATGTATGCGTACTTACAACGACGTCAACGACCATGGCATCGACATCTTCCTGGATTCAGACCGTTCATTCAAGAAAAAATGCATGAGCTACTTGAAGTTGTGTGTAGCTAATGGCTAAATAAGGAACTGTTGCCAAAATTTATTTTTACTGAGTTATTATTAATTTAACTATTTGGATTGTTTAAATTAGGAAACGAAAAGGAACAGTTGTTAATAACATAGACAATCGATATTGTTTTACACGTTATCACGATTTTGAGTACAAGTTTTGTAATTCCAATTATCGTAACGCACACTTGTACCTAATCTACTTTGCCAGTCTTTTGCTTTCATTTATTGTTAGTCAAACATAACTACGCTATTATAACTTCAAAATATGATTTACTAAAAACAAAAATTCAAAATCCTTTAGTAAAGTTCCATACAACTTGATGTGGTACAATTTAGCCGACTAGGTGATAGTGCTTTTAAAAAATTGGTAAAAAATATAGCTTATAAATACCGAAAAATGTTTCAAATAATTGTAATCCACACTAATTTACGCTTCTAAATAATATATTAGAAACACCCTGTGATTAAATTTAACAAAATTACAAACTAAACATGTATTGTCAAAAGTTACATGAAAACAATGAAAAAATACTTTTCAAAATAAAACACACGTGTTTTTTGTCACGGCAAAAACCACATGGCCGATATTAATTGATTTTAGTTGTGTATCGCTGAGTGTGGCAGTTACAGACATTCAATAAATACTTTACGAAATATGAGGGTGGTACAATTTACCCGGCGGTACAATATACCGAACTCTCCCCTAAGTAGGTAAAATCACATCAAGTGTTTCGCATACTACACTTCGTGACGCCCTGAACCGTTGAGACTTTACGATTCCATGCTAGGGCCGTCGCATGCGAATATTTAAGGCAGTATAAATGATAATTTAATAAAATATTCCCCAGATTCGTGATAGACGAAGCGCACTGCGTCTCACAATGGGGTCACGACTTCCGACCCGACTACAAGCGGCTGTACTTACTGCGACAACGCTTCCCCGGCGTCAAGATCATGGCGCTAACTGCCACCGCCACGCCGCGCGTGCGCATCGACATTCTACACCAGCTGCAGGTGCGTGGGCCACGGAGGGCACTGGGGGTCACTGTCAGGGGCGCGGGGGTCAACGCCTCGGGACACGGGAGACACAATTGGAGTCACAAGGGCCACTTATGGGCGACGTATATTGTGGTATACGTCGATACGTGATTATTAGAATGTAATTTATTTTCTTCTATACCTAATTTAATTAATTTATCTTTTCCCACAGGTGAACAGCTGCAAGTGGTTTTTAAGCAGCTTCAACCGGCCCAACCTGGCGTACAGGATCTTAGAGAAGAAACCCAAGAGCGTGAATCAGGATGTGGCCAATCTTATCAAGGAAAAGTTCTTTAGGTAAGCCCTTACAAATGACTTTCTTACTATTAATTTTTAATTTAGTACTGATTTTAAATCCTCTATTACACTGTGTAATAGCTACGCTCACGAGACACATTGGCTAATGAGGAATCACTTTGCCATAAATGAGAAGTGGAGATATACTATGCTCCCGTGTCAAATTGATATAGTGGAGGACGGAATTATTATACTTTATTCCTTACCGCTACAACTCCTGTGTAGTCAGGATCTACAGCTTGACCACCAATAAAAACCCACCAGTGAAGTTTGTCCAGGGAGAAAGTTAAATTGTCATTGGACTCGCTACGAAATTAATCAGTCGATCCTTAATTTCGAACTCCTATCTTCTTCCATAGGAGAAATTAATGTGTAGATTGTATTTCCTTTTTTGTATTTTTCTTGAATTCAAACTCGTCCTCCAGGGCCTCCGGCATCGTGTACTGTCTATCGCGCAAAGACTGCGACAACTTGACTCAAGACTTACGGCGTTCCGGCATTCAGGCGGCGTCATACCACGCGGGGCTCAGTGACAAGCAACGCGAGGCTGTCCAGGCTGGATGGGTCGCTGATAAGCACAAAGTGGTCAGTGGATATATTAGTACACTTTAAATTTATTTATTATTATGTATTTGTCCCCTCATTAGGTGGACCGACAATCTGGTGAAGGTCGCGGGATGTACCTGAATGCGGGCAGTGTACCTATCTTTGTGGAAGGCCTTTTGTCCAGCAGTGAAGGAACGAATGAAAAAAATGTTCTAATTCCAATTCTATCAATTTCAAATCCATATCTCAATTAATTATTAGGACCTGCGCATAACTCGCGTGATTGCCCGCAAGCGTGTCTGGATGGAAAAATTGTATAAGCCACGTCAGACGTCCGGAGTAGGCACCCACCCGCTCCGTTCACTCGTGCAACGTAGCCCCTATGCTACTGTAGCCGTTAGCAACCACAATAGCCGAAGCCACAAGCAACTTTCTGCACAGAAACACCATATTCGTCATCATCATAGAAACAGGGTCACCTGACAATAGCTCTGAGAAAAGCTGTTTCTTGAGGTGGTCACAACAAAACAGCTCTTCTTAGAGCTATGCAACGGCTCTTGTCAGGGTCACAATCTTGTTTCTATGATTCTAATACTAACCAACCCAACAAACCGAGCACTGTAGCTTAGTTATAATAGGGTTTCTTTTCTCTTAGATCTGCGCAACGATAGCCTTCGGCATGGGCGTGGACAAAGCTGACGTGCGCTTCGTGGTGCACCACAGCATGCCCAAATCCGTCGAGGGATACTACCAGGAGGCGGGACGCGCCGGACGAGACCAGGAGCCCGCCGCCTGCCTGCTCTACTACTCCTACTGCGACGTGCTGCGCCACCGCCGCATGATCGACAGTGAGTGGGGGGCACCCGGGGGGCACCGCCCGGCGCGACCAGGAGCCCGCCGCCTGCCTGCTCTACTACTCCTACTGCGACGTGCTGCGCCACCGCCGCATGATCGACAGTGAGTGGGGGGCACCCGGGGGGCACCGCCCCGCGCGACCAGGAGCCCGCCGCCTGCCTGCTCTACTACTCCTACTGCGACGTGTGAAAGTCAAAGTCAAAGTTTTTTATTCAGGACTTAGGCCACTTCTAGGGCGCTTATACACGTCCCAAATAGCTTACCCTACCACCACTTCGGGACAACATAATATGGGCGTGCGTTGAGAAATCTATTGCTCCTACTGCGATTCCTACTTCTAAAAGTGTAAATCTTAGCTATACTTGAGTTTGAATAGTGGGAAAGAGGAGCGATTCGATACCCCCAACCTCCCATCAATCCATCTTGTGGCCGTACAACCCTCGGTTACGCCTGACCTAAATTAGTGCATGTGCTTGGAATTGCATTTTATTATCGTAGGTAGGTTGCAGACAATCACGCGGCGTGATTCACGCCACACTTCGTCACATCCTACCATAGAGATATAGAGAGATGCCAACTAATGCGCTGAGTTCGAAACTCAGTGTCGCATTAGAAATTACACAAAGAAATCACAATATGTGCTCATTATCCACTTTGGTATCAGTACTCACCGTTCGAATAATCTTTAGTACTACGCAAGCAATGTAAACTGTTTACATTATGACGTCGCAGCTGTCATTATTGCTTTCACGAGTACCGTGTTCTGTTTTGGGCATATTGCTGCGACACCGGCCCCGCCCCCTTGTCACATCTCCCTTTAGTTACTGTGATCTGTGCATCCTATAGTCCGGGCACGTAGAATATCGTCCAATGACCCCAAGCTACCCAAACTTATCGTTTGCGCGTAATTATGCGGCCGCAGTGAGTGTGCGAGCGCGACAGCAACATAATTACGCGCGAGCGATAACGATGGGTAGCTTGGGGTCATTGGACGAAATTCAACGTGCTCGGCGACCGGACTTTACAAATCCTTTGTAATCTAACAACTTACATCTCCTTTTCCAGTGGAACGCAACTCAGTGGCGGAAGCCAAACGGGTCCACATCGAGAACCTCCTTCGGATGGTGGAGCTATGTGAGAGCGTGACGGAGTGCCGCCGCGCGCACGTGCTAGCGTACTTGGGAGAACGGTTCAATAGGGAGCTGTGTATGGCTGCGAAAGAGACTGCTTGCGACAACTGCTTGCAAGCGCACGATTACAAGGTCAGTGTTATATCGAACCTTCTAAGGATTAGGCCCCTGCCTCACCTCACCGACGAGGTGGTCAGACGCGGTGAGGAAGTCTGTGACCGCGGTCTGTGGAGGAATACTATACAGGGTGTCCCAAAAAGTAGTGTCAAGCCGAAGCCCAGAGGTAGAGCATCACTAGGGCTATCCAAATCACCCCCATGTACGTTCCGCGATTTTTGGCAGCTTTCGAGTTATGATTGTTTTAAACTGTGCTTAAGCACTTTTTTGGTCACTGTGGCGCGAATAGTTACATGACTGATTTTTTATTATTATTATTCACGCAGCGGTCCCTTGGTGCCCTACGAGTCCAATATAATAACATTTTCAGGGCTCTATTTCGACTACCTCGGTACTGTAGTGCCTCGGGCATGTTCGCGGATGCTCATATTGACGATTTTCACTCAATTATGCGCAAAACAACTGCGTCTGTGTTACAAAGACTGAGGACAAGTGGGAATGGAATCCTGAAAATGATTGCTGAGAGGCTGGACTCAGCCGTCTATGGTCGCTTTGTTGACTTACACATTAGGCATGTGAAGCTATACAGCGTCCATAGATAAAGAGTCAATATACAGAACCCATGATGTACGACTAACATATTTCTAAGAACATTGTTACTAACTCTACTAATATAGTCTCTAAGTTCAAATTGTTACTAACCAAACTATGGACTGCTTTTGTCTGATAATAAATGATTTTTATTTTTATTTTATTTTTATTTTTTATTTATTATTACATTGGTACTAAGCCTAGCTGATTCAGAAGTATTTACATCCATAACACGAATGCAAACTAAAATCCTGTATGTTGTAAAAAAAAAGTCATAACTCGAAAATTCAAAAGTCACGATGAAATCACCATGCCCAAATGGGTAGCCCTAGTGATGCTCTACCTTTGGGCTTCGGCATGACACTACTTTTTGGGACACCCTGTATGTGGTCGTGATCCTCATCAGTGAGGGACCGAGGAAGTAAGGATGGTGGAGCTATGTGAGAGCGTGACGGAGTGCCGCCGCGCGCACGTGCTAGCGTACTTGGGAGAACGGTTCAATAGGGAGCTGTGTATGGCTGCGAAAGAGACTGCTTGCGACAACTGCTTGCAAGCGCACGATTATAAGGTCAGTGTTGGATAAGAATTCTTTGCGCAATATAAATTGCTAAAATTCTTTTGTGAAATCCATCCACAAGGTGGACCGACGACCTCATAAAGATAGCAGGTAGGCGCTGGATACAGGCCACTACCAACCGGGCGATGTGGAAATCATTTTGGGAGGCTTATGTTCAGCAGTTTTTGTCCTGTAGCGGCTGTAGCTGAAATGATGATGATAAATATTCTTTAAGAAAATTCCAAAGACAAAAGGGAGAATTTGACCTACACTCCTCACAGAGGGATGGGGAGGCCTGATGACCCTGATGTTCACATATTTCTCCCTTCGTTTCTGACAGGAAGAGTTGAGGTGGTCACATTATATTCTGCCGGAACCACACAAATACCTGCCGGGACTAAATGGCTAAGGGCCTCCGCTAAAACTGTATCGAAAAATAATATGCGCTGCGTAGTGTAGCGCGCATGCGTGTGACGTTTTCATACACGCAGCAAATGCCCGCTCTATGCGCCTGCGCAAGTTTTAGCGCCGGCTCTAAATGTTGCACTGCTATCGTCACTTAAATAAATATCCTCAGACATTTTACACTGCGTTTCTAGTCCCAAACTAAGCAAAGCTTGTACTATGGGTACTAGACAACGGATATAAACATACTTAAATACTTTTTTTTTTTTGTAAATTCATACTTATTATACATAGAAAACACCCAGTCCAATACAAACAAATATGTTCATGCACACAAATGTTTATACTGTGCGGGAATCGAACCCGCTACCTCTGGAATAGTAGTCCGTTTCGAACCACTACACCAAACGGCCGACTATATAAATAGTAAGGTGGGGCACAATGTTACACGGGGTACAATGTTACAATGCATATTTCTCCGTCCTTTTCTATTACTTGTATGATGTTGGTATACACGTTTGTCAAGCTCATAAGAGCTGCTGAACTGAGCCGCTGAACATCATAGAACTATAGAAAGGGACGGAGAAATATGTATTGTAACATTGTACCTCGTGTAACATTGTGCCCCACCTTACCCTATTATGTAATCGCGCTTATTTACGTCACGTCACTTTGTATCCAGCCGGTAGACGTGACGGAGGAGTGCCGCGTGATCGCGCGCAGCTTACGCGACGCGAGCCGCTCGGGGCGCTCGCCCTACACGCTGCTACACGTGGCCGACGCGCTCAAGGGCTCTATGCAGCAGCGCTTGAAGCCGCTGCAGGACTCGCCGCTGTTCGGAAAGTGAGTTTTACCACATAATAATAATATATTCGTTCGTTCGTTTCAGCTGAATAACGTCCACTGCTGGACAAAGGCCTCCTCCAAGGTTTTCCACAAGGAACGGTCCTGCGCTGCCCGCATCCAGGCTCTTCCCGCTACCTTCACCAGATCGTCGGTCCACCTAGTAGGAGGCCTGCCCACGCTACGTCTTCCAGCCCGTGGTCGCCACTCGAGAACTTTTCTGCCCCAACGGCCATCGTCTCTACGAGCTATGTGCCCCGCCCACTGCCACTTGATTTTGGCAATTCTGCGAGAGATATGTCGGTCACTTTGGTTCTCCTGCGGATCTCCTCATTTCTAATTCGATCACGCAGGGAAACTCCGAGCATAGCCCGCTCCATCGCCCTTTGGGTGACCTTGAGCCTTCTTATGAGGCCCATCAATAATAATATGTACACGTACAGAAAGTTTTCACCGCGAAGGAATTAAAAAAATACTTACTCAATGTCGTCAACAATGTGGTGTAATTATTTAGCTTGTGTCAGAGTCGAGCACCATTTCGTTTACATGCGTCAGTGACCAGTACTGTGCCGATGCGATAGGGCTGACTGCTACAAGAAGCTACTGTGTCGCCATCTAGCGTACCACACGCTTTTCTTCTTTCCATAGCGAATATTTTTTTTACAATGGGTGAACAATACGCGTGCGTACGTCACTCACTACTCGCTCGTGAATCCCTTGTGGATTAAGGGCTATATTTCACCGGGACACCATGGCGGCGCAACCAGTCGCCGGCTACCAACAAAATGTATGCAGCTTTGCGCAACCAAACGGACACCAGGTAGGTAACTCTCTATAGAACTGCATACGTTTTGTTGGTAGCCGGCGACTGGTTGCGCCGCCGTGGTGTCCCGGTGAAATATAGCCCTAAACCTGCTAGCAGGTACGCCGCGCTTGTTTTGTTTTCGATGCTTACTTGGGAAGATGAACAAGCCAGGTATCGCCTGCTAACCGCATCGTGTCACTCAGTGTGTGAAGTTCGTATAAAACCGATTCATAATGGCCATTGTATTCCTTTCAGATGCAAGTCATGGCAACGAAGCGACCCTGCCCGCTTGCTACGCCAACTGGTGGTGCGCGGGTTACTAGCGGAGCGCCTCGTGGTCACCAACGACATCGCCGCCGCCTACCTGGCGCTCGGGCCCAACGTCGACAAGTAAGATATTCGGAAAGTTAGTCGGCCCTACACCTTTTTCAGGAAATGCCGTCCCCATTGGCCAAATCCACCACCACCCATGGCCATGCCTACCTTAAGGGTTATAAATGTTGCGCGTGGAACTGGTCTGCCTTGGCAGGTTGCACTCGGTCGCACGCCTTTCTTGACTCCCTACAAGTTTTTTAATCTACGTCCTTTATCCCTTGTCCTCCCCGTTCTGAGGCTACTACTACACGAAACATGTGGCATCCTCTCTCTCGCTCTCTCCCCATTGGCCAGTGGGTATATGTGGGAATCTCCCCGCCAAGGTTTGTTCACCAAAGGCCCAAGCGGGGCTTACCAACTAAAACCCGATGGTGTCCACCGGAGCCCAATGAAACTGAGCCGCGAGTTATTGTCCTAAATTGGACATTCGTCCGCAGCTGTGGCTCGCTCTCGAGCGAGCAATTCTGGCTACGAGAGGACCTCCAAACCCCTTCTCCAGTTGTTTTTTATAGAAGTTTTGCTCCTCGTGGCCCTGGTAGAACAGGATCCCAGGCTCGCTCTAACCGGTTATGGTCTACTCCATGAATATCCAGTTGAAACGTCTTATAGTTCATGCAACTCACGAGTCACGAAGGCGAGTGAGCTTTATTTGTGTACGTGCATATAACAATAGTATAATGTCTATCAAAACTTTTGAAAAACGTACAGTAGCGAGCCACCACCACACATGTAAAGCTCACTCGCCTTCGTGAATTGCAACAACCATACTTAAAATTATCCTAAGAGCATATTTTTTTGTCCTCAGACTAATGTCAGGCAACCTGCGCATAGTGTTCCCTATGAAGTGCGACAAGAAGGCGTCTCTACTGGCGCCAGCCGCGCCCGCCGCCGCCGCCGACTCGCCAGTGGCTGCCCTCGTCAAGCGCATCGAGGAGCGCTGCTACGCCGACCTGGTGGAAGCCTGCAGGTAGCTAGCAGTGCGCTGCGCACAGTGTTCCCTGTGCAGTGCGACAACAAGGCTCGCTCCTGCCGCCGACTCGCCAGTGGCTGCCCTCGTCAAACGCATCGAGGAGCGCTGCTACGCCGACCTCGTGGAAGCCTGCAGGTAGCTTGCAGTGCGCTGCGCACAGTGTTCCCTGTGCAGTGCGACAACAAGGCTCGCTCCTGCCGCCGACTCGCCAGTGGCTGCCCTCGTCAAACGCATCGAGGAGCGCTGCTACGCCGACCTCGTGGAAGCCTGCAGGTAGCTTGCAGTGCGCTGCGCACAGTGTTCCCTGTGCAGTGCGACAACAAGGCTCGCTCCTGCCGCCGACTCGCCAGTGGCTGCCCTCGTCAAACGCATCGAGGAGCGCTGCTACGCCGACCTCGTGGAAGCCTGCAGGTAGCTTGCAGTGCGCTGCGCACAGTGTTCCCTGTGCAGTGCGACAACAAGGCTCGCTCCTGCCGCCGACTCGCCAGTGGCTGCCCTCGTCAAACGCATCGAGGAGCGCTGCTACGCCGACCTCGTGGAAGCCTGCAGGTAGCTTGCAGTGCGCTGCGCACAGTGTTCCCTGTGCAGTGCGACAACAAGGCTCGCTCCTGCCGCCGACTCGCCAGTGGCTGCCCTCGTCAAACGCATCGAGGAGCGCTGCTACGCCGACCTCGTGGAAGCCTGCAGGTAGCTTGCAGTGCGCTGCGCACAGTGTTCCCTGTGCAGTGCGACAACAAGGCTCGCTCCTGCCGCCGACTCGCCAGTGGCTGCCCTCGTCAAACGCATCGAGGAGCGCTGCTACGCCGACCTCGTGGAAGCCTGCAGGTAGCTTGCAGTGCGCTGCGCACAGTGTTCCCTGTGCAGTGCGACAACAAGGCTCGCTCCTGCCGCCGACTCGCCAGTGGCTGCCCTCGTCAAACGCATCGAGGAGCGCTGCTACGCCGACCTCGTGGAAGCCTGCAGGTAGCTTGCAGTGCGCTGCGCACAGTGTTCCCTGTGCAGTGCGACCACAAGGCTCACTACTGGCGCCGCCGACTCGCCTGCAGGTAGCTACATTATCATCATCATCATCATCATCATCTCAGCCGTAGGATGTCCACTGCTGAACATAGGCCTCCCCCAATACTTTCCATGCTACCCGGTTGGGAGCAACATTATAGTAAAGTTTAAAATAACATTTGTAGGTAACGGGACTATTCTCACTGCTGCAACTCCTGTGGTCATGTTTGTCCCGGGGGAAAGTTAAACTCTCATTGGACTCGCAATGAATACTTGTAGGTAACAAACAATATGGTGACATGACTAGACAAAGCATAAAACCTGAAGCAGCTGAAATATCTGATGTTTGACCTTTGACGTCACAATAACTTCCTGTGTCGCTTCCATACCTCAAGCACCGACTAATTAAACGCTACATCTGCTGTATTTGTCTAACTAAATTATAAGCACCAACTGGTGAGCGCTGACGCTGTATAAGGACTATCGCATTTTCACTCACCAGTAGACTTATGATACACGTTAGGATATAATTTGATCCAGGCATTGCTGATTTTAAACGATAAGCATATCGTCTGTATTGAACATGACTAGACAAGGTATAAAACCTGAAGCAGCTGAAATGTCTGATGTTTGACGTCACAAAAACACTCCTGTACCTCAAGCACCGACTAATTAAACGCTGCACCTGCTGTATTTGTCTAACTAAATTATAATCCGCAAAATATTTATTACTCTATTAAACCTCCACAGAGAAATGGGTGCGGCGCGCGGTGCGTCCCTTGCGGCAGTCCTACCACAAGCCGCTCTCAAGGCTATGGCGGTGCGCCTGCCCGAGACAGCTGAGGACATGTTAGCGCTGCCTCACGTCACGCGCGCCAACTACGACAAGTACGGAGCCGACCTGCTCAAGATCACCTCGGGATATGCGGTCGAGAAGATCGGTAAGTTTACTTTCAGGTCCTAAAGTGACCCTTGTGAGAGCCCAATCCTATCCTAAGCAACAGATAAGGGATTAGACGTGTCCCTTGTGGGAGCCCTGCCTTAAGCAGCAACAGTCAAGATACTAAAGGTGACCCTTGAAGCGGCTCAATCCTAAACAACGCCGCAAAGCGGAGGACAAAGCCTTATTACACGTCACTTCGACCAATGGCGTCCCTTGTGGGAGTGATATTACATGCCGCTCTCAAGGTCATGGCGGTGCGGCTGCCCGAGACAGCTGAAGACATGTTAGCGCTGCCACACGTCACGCGCGCCAACTACGACAAGTACGGAGCAGACCTGCTCAAGATCACCTCGGGATATGCGGTCGAGAAGATTGGTGAGTTTATAATACAAGTGCTAAAGGCGACCCTTGTGAGAGCCCAGTCCTACCCTGAACAACAGATGAGGTACAAGATCGGTGAGTTTACTTTCAGGTCCTAAAAGTAACCCTTGTGAGATCCCAGTACTTGCCGGAGCAACAGATAAGGTACTAAAGGTGACCCTTGTGGCAGTCCTGAGTGACAACAGACAAGGTGCTAAAGGTGACCCTTGTAACATTCCTGTCTGAATGGCAATAGATAGGGCACTAGAGGTGTCCTATGTGGGAGTCGCTTTAAGCAGCAACAGAGAAGGTGCTAAGAGTGACGCCGACCTGTTCAAAATCACCTCGGAGAACCACCACCACCACCAAAAAGTCGGCAAGTTTAAAATACAAGTGCTAAATGTGTCTCTTCTGGAAGTCCTATTCTAAGCGATCTAAATGAGATGTACGAGGGGCGGCTGAAAAGTTTTGAGCCTAAGTATCTTCAAGTGTTATTATTGACTCGGGCTAAATTTAATTAATTTGCCAATAACCTCATTAGTATATGTACAAAGTTTTATTTCATTAGCGTCATCACTCTTTTAGTAATTCATCCGTAAACATCATCATGTCTCAGTCATCCGCGCAATGTACGAAATTGAAGTACACAGTTGTCTTAAAATACCTCAAAAAGAGGAACAAAACGCTGACGGTAACATTTGAAGAGATGTCTACAGTTTATGGGGAGTCTGGGCCTTCATTTGCCACCATGAAAGATTGGATCCGATAATTCAAGCATGGCAGGGAGTCGCTAAAAGATGATCGCAAGTCAGGGCGGCCAGATTTCACCATTAACGAATAAAATAATGAAAATTTAAAGAATTTTGCTTTAGAGATCAGCGAATTAAGCTGTGACATATAGCTGAAGCCATAGGCATTAGCAAGGAACGTATTGGCGATATTTTTCATACTCATTTGCACATGAAATAGGGGTGCGTGCGATGGGTGCCAAAAATGCTCACGCCGTTCGACAACCAGACTCGACGCACAACTTCGCAGGAGTTTTAGGACATCTTTGGCCATAATTGTAACGCGGCAACGCTATTTTATAACGTTTATAACGTTATCGCGCGCGAACAACGCAACGTTAGTGTTATCACGCCATCTCGTCTAATAGCGAATCACGCGGAAGTATGGTGCCGCGCCCTTTCCTCGGCCAATCGGCGCGAGGCAGTCCCCCCGCGCGTCTCGCGACTCACGCGGAAGCTTCTAGAAGTTTCCTTCTTCCCGGTGCGCGACGCCAACGTGAACGGTCGATTTTGAGCTAGCCTATTTTATATGTGGAAATATGTAAATTCCCGTGATTGTTTGCCACGAAAAGTTTTGTTTAGTCGTAAGCTTAAGTTTCAATAAATGATTATTGTGAAACCACGATTAAAAAAGTTATTATGTAGCCAGATCTTACAATAATTGTTTTTAAGGCACAAATATTTTTTAACTCTTTACTAATTAATTCAATAACATATTGTAATAAGTAAAATTCGAAAGTAACTGTATGATTTTGTATTTCTCGCCTTAACTAGCTAAACTAATATCATGAGATTTACACTCTTAATATCAACAGTAATTATAGAAAGGGCTACTTTTTTCTCGGGAAATTGCACAGTTACCTCGGAATGTGCGATACCAATTTTGTGACCCTATCGGGCAATCGCTAGTTCAAATTTTACACGAAGCCTCATAAATATTTTGTAGCGATTCTTTATTGGGTTTCAAATTGACTAAAATGCGACGTTGCCAAACGAGCGCTACGGATGCGGGTAATAAGCAATACTCAATCCTAAATGCTTTACATAGAGCTTGGTTTGCTAGGGCAAACATCTACAGTGGTGCGCCGACGCTGCTTAGACCCGAAACATGAATGAACGGGGGCGGAGCATAATCGAGCGTGTGTGTGCAAACAATTTAGGCCCTTAAGGTGTCAAGGCGTCCGAGTCCCCGATAGTACCTTGTGTAACAGTTATATCACAGAATAATAATAAGTACTACGTACAGAAGTTTTACTTCGCGAAGGTATTTAAAAAAATGTATGCTCAATGTCATTAACAATATGGTGTAATTTAGCCTGTCTCAAGAGTCAAGCACCATTTTGTTGACAAACGTCAGTGATCGGCACTGCGCCGAAGCTATAGGGCTGACTTCGGTAAAATGATGTGACGTGAGGTGCCAAACTGCGGAAAATGGCGGAGGAAATACATGATTTAGCATGAATTATCATCAATAATATTAACTACTTATTTACCTCTCAGTGTCTTGAGGCAACTTAAAAAAGTACATTCTGTGTTTTTATGATTATTTAGGCAGTTAAATACTGTACAGTATATTTTACTACACGATTTTCTTTATTTTCTTCCATCATACACAAGAACACGCGTGCGTGAGTTGCTCGTATGTGAGGCCTTGTCGAATAGTATCCTGTAGGTGGGCCATCGTGCGTGTTTTGTTTTCGATGTAAACTCGCGGAGATGAATAGGCCTGGTTATATCCTAACTGATACCGTATAGAAAGGTGACATGTCACTAGAACCAACTGTGTGTAGTAAAGCGAAGGCCTGATGAAGATCGCCGAAGCGTTTACAATGCAAACTTATCGCGGACTTTATTCCCATTCGTATTTTTTACGGCTGTACTTTTTAAATTGGCAACAAATTCTCTTCAACAATATTTATCCACAGGCCTGCTAATGCAGTACCAAGACGAGCTAGAAGAGGAGAAGCCAGCGGATGACTTCCAGGAGTCGGGAGGTGACTCCGACACGGACTGGGCGCGCCTGGGCCAGGCCAGCCAGAGCAGCACGGCCAGCCAGCGCGGACGCAAGACCTACCGCGGCGGCGTGAGGAAGAGGTGAGATGTTACGACTGGCTTATTAATGAAAAATAGATAATTTACACCTTTTGTGAATATTAGTATTCATGTTTAGCTGACAGAATAAACAGAGCGTGTGTTCTTTTTGGTACTTTTGTTATTATTTGTTATCTCATTTTTTGTGTCAAAATATACTCTTCGATTCATTAAATCATTATTTCAAAAACATGTGCGCTAAATATTATTATTTGATCTCCAAAGAACTGCTGACCCCCGTAATGTATCAGGATTAGCCAACATGAATAAACCCTCCCATATTAGCCACTATATTATACTATTCCTAAAGCCTGGTCCGTGAGCACGTAGAATTTTGTCCACGGACCAGGCTTTAGTTACTGAGATTAACAATAATCTGGAATTAAATGGAAGGATTTTACTGTCTCACACTGACCAAAAATCAAATTCACAAATTCCTCTAATCAGGCCGATCAACAATAAAGGGCCTATGCTTCAGTTCTTGTGACCACAACAAAAAAAATGTTTTAATTACACTAATTTTAATTCTGTATCTCACTAGATACAAGCGTAAAGGCACGTCGTCAGCCAAGAAGAAAGCCTACCGCAGTTCCTACACTCGCGGACGCGGCTCCAATAGCACCTCTACTGGTTGGGGCAGCGCTTCTACTAGTAGGGGCGGAGCTAACACTAGTAGGGGCGGAGCCAGCAGTAGTAGGGGCGGAGCCAGCACTAGTAGGGGCGGAGCCAGCGGTAGGGGCGGGGCCAAGCTAGCGAGAACCGCTGCAACCAAAGCTCGTGAGTACTTACTTTTTACGGCTGTGTAAGCAACTAGACCAGTGGTTCTTAACCGGTGATCCGCGGACCACTGGTGGTCCCTGGAGGCATTCCAAGTGGTCCACGAAGACATCGTAATAAACAAGTGACGTGACGTGATGAGTCGAGTTAACACAACGCAAACGGCGCACAGTGGGCGAGAAATCGACCTCCCCTTTTATAGGATTTTGAAAAAAAAAGTAATCCCTGACAAGACAGAAATTTGGTAAAATGGTCCCTCGTGACTTAAAGGTTAAGAACCACTGAACTAGACAGAAATTACGATAAGCGATTTACATAGACTGTATACATTTGAAATTTCTTTGTCGTAAAAGTAAAATTTATAAGTGTAAAGGCGGTTGAATATAACATTTCTAATATTTGACGATGAAATATGGCCAACTATTTAACGCTAAGACTGTAAATTTCGATACGTTGTAACACACTTATCTTTCTTTACAAATTGACATCTAACATACCTATTTAATTCAAGAAAGAAAACGTACAACATCTTAAGTATTTGTCTGAAGACAAAAGGGTAATATTTACACTTGAAAAATACTAAACACATGAATTCTGTTTTCAGCGAGCAAGCTGGGCAGTATGCCTGTCCCGAGGACCAATTCCGCCGTCATCAACACGCGGCCAGGAGTCTTTAACCCTTCTAAGCTCAACTTGCTGTGAAAAATGTAAAGAACTGCTACATTGCTATAATCTACCTACAATAATTTAATACCAGTAAGTTGATTTATTTGGCCCAGTCAATCGCTGCCGGTCATCGATTGAACAGGGGCTCAAATGTACCTGATATTTCAATATAATTATTATTTAAATTCGATCTGGACATTTCAGCTTGTGAATCAAAACTCGATTCAAACACCAATATGTGTAAGAATCTGTGATTAGTTATTTAATCTAATGTTGAAACTTATCACAGGCGCCATTATTACTTTTTGTCTAGTTTAGATTTATATTGTGACTGTAATTCTCTATAACTTTTTATTTATTGAATCGAATTTAAATACTGATGTTTTACTGATAATATCAATCTCGAAAGAAACTCGGAAACTTTCATTTATCTCCCCAATAATAATCCAACATGAAATTATCTAAATTAATTCAAACCAATTTATTAAATTAAATTAATAAATTTATTAAAATAAATGTGATAATTGATATTACCTGTAAATATTAATAAAGCAATTCTTCTCAAACTGTACTTCATTTATTAACATACCCGTTTTGTAAGATGAAATATCATGTGGTCAACAAAACAGCTGGGAGAATAAAGCAAAGGGATATACCGATATTAAGTATACGGGACCTTTCTATCTATTTCAATTCACCCTCGGCAGGTTTTGATGAATTTGACGCAGAATGTGCACTTCGCAAAATGAGCATTCGATTCAAAATATACTTTTTCGTAGTAATTTCACACACATTTTGAGTGAGTGCTCATTTAACGAGGTTGTCGCTCCACGGTGAATGTACTACGCTGCGCTTTCTGGTACGTGGCCTCCACTCCAGAATCTCATAAGTAGCAGGAAGGCGATGTATAATAATTTGGGCAATGATTAGAAGTTGTTTCCACATCAGCCAGATAGTTTTGACAGTTTGAACTCCTAGCCAGACATTTTTTTAGGGTAGCTGCCAAAGCCACAATGACCCAAACTTCATGATTCACCAACATTCTAACTTATATTGAGAGTATACGCTGACAAACTTTCAGCTTTTATAAAATGACGTAGGTCTGGCGTTCACTAGCTCTTAGTCTATATGTTCTGCAGTGGACGTGCTATGACTGAAATGATGATCACGATGCTCATTTTGCGAAGTGCATATTGATGACCGAGGGGGTTAATCATGCGGGTGTATGATGATCTTCATGGCCTGCCCGCTCTTGGCCAGTTCAAGCGCTTCTTTGGCGCGCTCCAGCGGCATGTGGTGCGAGATGAACCGCTTCAGGTCGATGGCGCCGCTCGACACGGCCGCTAGTGCCGCTGGGTATCTGGAATTAGGATTTTTTGTCGTTGATACAATTATGCTGTGCGAAAATAACTGCCTGTCTGTTACTTTTTCACACAAAAACTTATGGGCTCGTAATTATAGCTTGTTCCCAACGAGTCACACCCAAACGAGTAATAACCCTGTTACTCATTGGGAAAAAAAAATCGTCACACCGTTACTCGATGGGATATCTCTTTAAAATGTTTTTTCCCAACGAGTTTTGGTTTAAAAGTGAATGAAAAGCTATTTTTTGTCGCTAAAATAAAACTTGAAGGAGGTATAAATGTTTGTCAAATAGTGCGTGACCTCCGAAACAGCCAAAAAGTTCACAACACGTCTTTGCTAAAATTGGAATACGGTTGTGTTGTCAACTTTATGGATCACTTTTGGATGTTACTAACTATTTGACCCTGACTGAACACATATTGTGCTATAGTATATCTTACGGGCGATGGAGCATGCTATGCTCGGAGTTTCCCTGCGTGATCGAATCGTAGAGCTGACGGCCGCTGAGGCAGGAAAGTTCTTGAGTGGCGACCACGAGCCGGAAGATGTAGCGTGGGCAGGCCTCCCACTAGGTGGACCGATGATCTGGTGAAGGTCGCAGGAGGCGTCTGGATGCGAGCGGCGCAGGACCGGTCTTTGTGGAAATCCTTGGGGGAGGCCTTTGTCCAGCAGTGGACGTCAGTGAACGAAAGAACGAACGATATCTTACGTGTTGGCGATGCGGTTGGAGCCTCGCACATCGACCTCTCGCAGCAAGGCAGCGGTTAGAGGCACCTGCGACGTGGGCTCGCCGATGCCCACCACCAGAACCGTGCCGCCCGTGCGAGTCACCTGGAAAGACAACGCTGCATGATTGTATGCTCCTCAACCGGATATGAACCGTATGTTAAAGGAGTCAAATTGATAATGAATTAGACAAATTCTCCTAAGTCGCTTTTAAAACTTGTACAAAAATGACTGATGATTTCTTATTCGATATTTTGTTACGTTACTAATTGAGACTAAAATTTAAAGCCGTTGGCTTGATTTTTCCGGTTTCATGTTTAAGAGTTTATATTTACTTTTTAAATGACTTATTCTAACCAGAAATGAGACAAAGTACCTACATAGAGAGGCTCGGGTTCCGGTAATGGAGAATGGATGACCTGTGTGCTTACTACCATGAGTTTACATAAAACGTACTGGCTAGCAAATCAGCGACTGCATAAAAAATATATGACGAAATATACAGCGCCCCTAGCGGTTACTTTCAAGAACTAAAATTTGTTATAGATATTTTTAAGCGCTAGCAATAACGTTTAAAGTTAAAGTAAACTCATGGTAAAACTACTGATGATAAAGGGAACGTACCATCAAAGAGTGTAGCGTGGGCAGGCCTCCCACTAGGTGGACCGACGATCTGGTGAAGGTCGCGGGACGTACCTGGATGCGAGCGGCGCAGGACCGGTCTTTGTGGATATCCTTGGGGGAGGCATTTGTCCAGCAGTGGACGTCTTTCGGCTGAAACGAACGAACGAACGTACCATCAAAGAGACCCTCTGCGCAGAAGGAAACGCGCACGCGTCAATAGTGACATGCGGCTGCGCACCCAACGTTAACGTAATACGATCCACGACGTCTTGGTCCGGTTCTTCGGGCTTCACTAACAGGGCGTGGTTTACCCCCATCTCCTTTGCTGTGTCGAGGCGAGACTCGACAGTGTCTGTAAGGATTTGAATAATAATATTTTTTATTTATTTATAAATTGCGTTCATATTATCACATGCACCTTAGGTGCATCTATTATGATGGACTACTACCACTCCTGTGTGCCAGATTCTGCAGCTTATCCACCAGTAAAAATTCAACTAACAAAGGCCAAGTTAGACCCTGGAGAATGTGAAATTGTCATAGGACCTGCAACGACAACGCGGCAACGTTAATCAAGGGAATGTTGAAGAAGTTCGAAGTTGAGGATCGACTTCCCTCCATCCAGCGAAAAGTGGATGACAGGCAATATCTGCGTTTGACACCATGGATATAACAACAAACATCCCCTCGCACGGTGGATCGAAATGGCATTAAAGTGGACATAGGGATTTTTTCCGGAAAATTGAATTTTAAAAATTGCCAGTCGATAGTCCTTTGCTCACTCATCACGACATGTCATATCACATTTTTCTCTAAACCTGATACTTTAGCTTAAAAAAATAATTTGTGTTTTTTTTGTATGAAACGAGACATAAAGTGCTAATTTTCTCCGAAGACCTGCTAGATCGTGACTTAAAACAACCTAGGTCGGTATAACTGCATTATTTATTAATATTCTAAGCTATTTCCAGCGGCTCCAAACCGCAACTTAGCCTGTTAAACGATTCCGAAAAAAATTAAAATTGACTCTTCTTGTAATTGTATTTTAGTTCTTTTTTTTTAGAAAAAGCGTCGATTACGGTACTAGAAAGTGATTTTATCGTTACGTGACATTGTTATCTATTCTCAGAATCTGTTAAACCCTTTCTTTCCTATCAGCACATGACTTTAAAACAACAATGAAGTTACTCATACCTCGTAAATAACGTGTTTTGCGAATAAGCAGATAATGGTCAGGGGTGGGGGTAAAAAACAGATAAGGATTGTTTATTTGTTTTAAATTTAGTTTGGGCTGTGTAACGTCACCAATAACATTCAACTTTAAATGCGGTTTTTAACATGTAATTACAATGGAAGCTATTGTGAATAATATAGATTTGTTCGTAGTCTTAAGAAATACCTTAAAACCTTTCATGGACAGTGAGGAACTTTATAATCACCTTTAGCAGAAAATGGTACATTTGTCAGAAGAAAACAGTGTTAAGTTAAAAAAAGTTTGCCGGAATTTTCGTACTAATCTTAATGGACGATGGACAACCTGTCATCTATCTCTTCCCCAATTTTTAAGAAGAAACAGTGATTGCCTTGAATCTCCAATTAACTGGGTCTGGCAACTAGTTTTTGATGAAGACAAAATTGAGGAAAATGTTGGTTCAATTACTGAACCTAGTGAAAAAACAACGTCAAATATAGATGCTATTACAGAAAACATGTCAATTTCTACACTACATGCTTCGACTACTTCCTTTATCCCGAGGAAACCGTTACATAAATTAACTCAGAAACAGAAAAAAAGATGAATTACACGTTACATAAATTAACTCAGAAACAGAACATTTTCCTCAATTTTGTCTTCATCAAAAACTAGTTGCCAGACCCAGTTAATTGGAGATTCAAGCCAATCACTGTTTCTTCTTAAAAATTGGGGAAGAGATAGATGACAGTTTGTCCATCATCAAGAAGAATAATGGTGTAAAAATCACTTTGATTTTTGGGTATTTCACGTTCTTTGAATTTGTGATTTCTTATTGTAAAATGCTTAAATCTAAGAATTTTCTCAACTAACTATTTGCCTAAAGACCTATGCTATAGGATATAAATGTTTGTTATATCGTTTTCACAGTATTTTTATAAAAAAATCAGCTTGTAAACTGACGCTAAAGTGGAAATTTGAAAACCTGTGAGGACTTATCTTGATAGAATTCTTAAATTAATACTATACTAATCGAAATATTATCTCAACTAACTATTTAGACGACAAAATTGCCTTATTATTTATGCCTATAACATATTTGTAATGTAACTGGTTAATGATTGTAACGGGTTAAAAAAGTACTTATCGGGTTAAAAAAGTACTTATCGGGTTAAAAAAGTAATATGTCGGCCGTTTGGTGTAGTGGTTCGGAACGGACTACTATTCCGGAGGTAGCGGGTTCGATACCCGCACAGTACAAACATTTGTGTGCATGAACATATTTGTTTGTATTGGACTGGGTGTTTTCTATGTATAATAAGTATGTATTTACAACAAAAAAAGTATTTAAGTATGTTTATATCCGTTGTCTAGTACCCATAGTACAAGCTTTGCTTAGTTTGGGACTAGAAGCGCAGTGTAAAATGTCTAAGGATATTTATTATCATTTATTTATTTTATTATTTACTGTTTTTGCGCCAAACGGCGTAAACGCTCTTAACACTGTTTTCTTCTGACAAATGTACCATTTTCTGCTAAAGGTGATTATAAAGTTCCTCACTGTCCATGAAAGGTTTTAAGGTATTTCTTAAGACTACGAACAAATCTATATTATTCACAATAGCTTCCATTGTAATTACATGTTAAAAACCGCATTTAAAGTTGAATGTTATTGGTGACGTTACACAGCCCAAACTAAATTTAAAACAAATAAACAATCCTTATCTGTTTTTTACCCCCACCCCTGACCATTATCTGCTTATTCGCAAAACACGTTATTTACGAGGTATGAGTAACTTCATTGTTGTTTTAAAGTCATGTGCTGATAGAAAAGAAAGGGTTTAACAGATTCTGAGAATAGATAACAATGTCACGTAACGATAAAATCACTTTCTAGTACCGTAATCGACGCTTTTTCTAAAAAAAAACAACTAAAATACAATTACAAGAAGAGTCAATTTTAATTTTTTTCGGAATCGTTTAACAGGCTAAGTTGCGGTTTGGAGCAGCTGGAAATAGCTTAGAATATTAATAAATAATGCAGTTATACCGACCTAGGTTGTTTAAAGTCACGATCTAGCAGGTCTTCGGAGAAAATTAGCACTTTATGTCTCGTTTCATACAAAAAAAACACAAATTATTTTTTTTAAGCTAAAGTATCAGGTTTAGAGAAAAATGTGATATGACATGTCGTGATGAGTGAGCAAAGGACTATCGACTGGCAATTTTTAAAATTCGATTTTCCGGAAAAAATCCCTATGTCCACTTTAATGCCATTTCGATCCACCGTGCCTCGCCCCTCAGCCAAGTTACAAAACGTGACAGTTGTAATAGAAAAAGTGACGAAAACATTCGCTCCGTGCAGCGATTTTGAATGTAAAGTCCGGTCCGGATAAGGATGGGTAGCTTGGGGTCATTGGACAAAATTCTACGTGCTCGCAGACCAGACTATAGTCAAGCGCAGCCTGTTTCTTCTGATTAATTTAGTTGCAGGTTCAGTCTCAGTTAATTCCTCGGTTTGAAGACGTACCAGTGATAAGAATGTTGGTAGCGCCCATAGCGCGCGCCGTCATCGCGCACAGCACGCCGACGGGCCCGGCGCCCAGCACGACCACGCTGTGCCCGAGCGATATCCCGGCGCGCCGGCACGCGTGCACCGCTATGGCTAACGGCTGCACCGCCGCGCCTTCGTCCATTGATAGGTTGGCGGGGATCCTGGAGGTGACAAACGAAAATTGGTTGAATATCAATACCATTGTTAACTGATAGGCCTTATAAATAAGCTGAAAGTTGTGCAGCGTACTATGGAGAGGGCTATGTTTGGTGCTTATTTACGAGATCGAATCAGAAATGAGGAGATCCGTAAGCGAACTATAGTTACATAGTGGCACATAGTACGCAGAACTGACGGCCGATGGGGCAGCAAGGTTCTGGAGTAGAGGCCACGAACCGGAGAGCGTAGCGTAGGATGTCTACTCACAAGGTGGACCGTTGACCTCATAAAGGTAGCAGGAAGGTGCTGGATGCAGGTCGATAGCAATCGTTCATTATGGAAATAGTTAAAATGCCTATGTTCAGCAGTGGACGTCTTATGGCTGAAATTGTGATGTAGAAATGTAGAATTAAAAAGATTCGTAGTCTCACATGTGGCAAAAGTCAGCGATGACTTGTAGTACCGGCTGAGGTTCTCATCTCACTAACACAGAACTACAAGTACAGAAATAAAGTCTTGAAGAGTGTCACTAGTGGCAGTAGTCAGCGACGTGCTTATGGTACCAGCAGAGGTTGCTCAATCCGTCAGACTAGTAGGTACGATTACAATTTTATTACAGAATTAAAGTCTCACTTGTGGCAGAAGTCGGCGACGTGCTTGTAGTACCGGCTGAGGTTGCCGGGGGCGGCGGGCGTAGAGCAGTAGCCGGGCCGCGCGCACACGTTGTAGCGGCCCAGCCGGCAGTGCTCGCACGCGCGGCACGGTTGCGTCGGCTCGATGGCCACGCGGTCGCCCACCTTCAGGTCCGACACTTTGGAGCCCACCTAGGGAACATAAACCTTCTTTTAAACTGCGATCTCTAATCCACCTGCCAGGCTGGAGATTATGGCAAAACCTTCCACTAAAGTGGAGGAGTGGAAAGGGATGATGGTGGAGTTGGGTGGAGGTCGTGATGCGAACAAATCACAACTCATGATGAACGATTACTGTCAAGAGAGTCGCACGCCCGGCACGGCTGCGTCGGCTCAATCGCTACGTGGTCGCCCACTTTGAGCGAGGATACTTTGGAGCCCACCTGGGGAAAGAAAATAACAGGGGTTTGGGGCGTGCAACATCCGCCTACATTCATCACAACTCATGACGAATGACTACTCTGACGCTCCGAGTCACCCCGAGTGGTCTCAAGTCTCAAGAGTGTGGCACGCCCGGCACGGCTGCGTCGGCTCAATCGCTACGCGGTCACCCACTTTGAGGTTTGACACTCTTGAGCCCACCTGGGGAAAGTAAGCCAGGGAGAAATATGGTAGGATATCGTAAGGCAACATTCGCCCACAACAAATCACAGCTCATGACGAACGACTACTCTGTCAAGAGTAGGTACTACACTCTTACACACACTACCTACCTAACGATTGTTGTTCACATGTTACATCTCGCTCGAAATTCAATGTCTTTATTTATTTATCACTTCACATCACAACACGGCCATAAAATAACACCAGTTTGTAAAATAAGTTAAACGCATTAAAACAGAACGACAGTGCTTTTCGTTCAACTACCCTCCACAAAATCAAGACAATATCTTGACACTCTAGTTAATTGACATACTTTTTATCTATCAAAACGCGGCTTCTCGCCGAATCAATTGAGCAACTTTTTTATTGACTGTAGATTTTAGACGAATTGTGAATAAGCATTTGTCTTCTAAAATCCGTATACCATATAATTTTAAAATACTAGCCCGGCAGGATTTAAGTTTTATCTTGACTATGTACTTAGCCGGTGCCTTCAAGACCGAGACATCAGTCTAGCTAGTCATCTAAAAACTAAGGAAAGAAGAAGTTAAGCAAAGGCTTTCTTTACAAAGATGTAGGTACCTTGACAACGTAACCCGCGCCCTCGTGGCCGATGACTATGGGACTGGCCACCTGCACCGCGCCGCAGCGGCCCGAGGAGTACAGCTTGACATCGGAGCCGCAAATGCCAACGCTGGTCATCTTCACCAGCACTTCTGCAAACACATGGCATTGAGCCACGATAGCCGAACGGTGAAGGGGCCGTCTCGAGATCCGAGGAACGTGGGTTCCAATTCCACCGCCGCTCGACTATTGTGGTGAGCCCACTCGTAACACAAGCATATTTAGCTTACCACGAGGGGCTAACAGGACTATTAGTAATCTTAAAAAAAAAGAAAAATATTTTGATTTGGAAAAAGGAATAAACATACAATGGACATAAGTATTTGGGAGTGCATTACCGCAGCAAAATTTTTATAAATGTTGTGCTTTAGAGAGTCGAGAGTATAGCAGATAATTAGTCCATCGTGAGCAGAAATTTGTAGCAGCAGGACGTAAGTATGTATCCTGTTCTAACTTTTTTCCGCGAAAAGTTTAAGACATAATAGTACCTAAATTAAATAACTTAATTAAATTACCATAATCGTTGATCTCCGGCATCGGCCATTTTTCCTGAAAATAATAAAAGTGTAAATACATTATTCATGTAAATTGGTATCTAAGGCGAAGTTAATACGAACTTAATTTCATTTCATTTATATTTTATTCAAGAACATCTTTGTCTTTTTACTTGCGGTTGAGATGTTCAGTAAGTTTAGTTTTTTTTGTTGTATTAAATCTAATCTCTTGGTTCTCCTTTAATTTCTGGTTAAATTAACTAACTTACCACCCTAAGGTCGTTGGGTCCATAGAGCACAGCAGCGTAATTTTCAGCCATATTCCACTCTTCACGGTATAACTAATGTAAATGAATATTATTTCCATCTCCACAACAATCGTGCTGATAAATTAAAACAAACAATGTAAAACATTAACGTGGGTTAACGGGCTTGAAATTACCTACGAAAATATTTACGAACTTGATAAGATAAGTCGTATTATTGAAGAAACTTACGCAAATAATTTCAGAAACATCTCAAATTGCCCGAAAAACTAATGATAATAGTAGGTTGTGTTCATGGCGGAATAGTGAAGACTCGTGTTATCAGTTATGTTTTATTTTCTAAAATTCCTGTTTAGCTGACTATTAGGTACTATGTAATAATGGTGGATTATTGACCATTAATTGTTCGTGAACGTGCACGAGTGTAGGCAAATGAGACAAAACAGTGCAACATCAGTTTTCAAGTTCCCTCAAGAAGTCCGCGTCTGGTTTCGGTAAAGGTGAGTATAGACTAGAGCATTTAATTTTAACAGAACAATGAGCCGCTTTATGATATCAAATCAAATCAAATCAAATTTCTTTATTTGCGTAATTCCAGGTACATAAGTGGTCTTATGTACCTGGTGATAAATTCTAGTGTTCACCCTTTCGCAAACCAAACGTCGTAGATTATACCTGTATTGTACCATTCGTATGCACGTTACATTCATAGGAACGCTCGAGAAAATGCTCTAGTCTATACTCATCTTAATGTTGCCACATCTTTCTTTACTGAAACTCAAAGGGTAGGGGGATATCATCTCATCTACCATTATCAATTATCATTCATTATTTCATCAATTGGAATCTACCATAAGGAATAATCATTAGAAAATAACAGATAGGTAGGTACTATCAACAAAACATTTATTATAAAAATAATTTATTCTACAAAATGTATATTTCTGTACACCACCTTGTACTTTTTATTTACATAATCAAGCTTAATCTAAATAAAAGTGTAAATATTCATCTTTAAATGTTGTATGTACTTTGTTTTGTATTTCTTTAGGAACTTTTTTCTGTTTTAATGAAATGCATTCAACAGCAAAATTCACGGTTAATTTTACAAACAACACAACCAACTGAAAATATTTACTTAAACTATTAACTTATTTACTACAATTCAATTTCGTTTCACATAAAATATTACATTGATTGATTTCATGCAAACCGCGTATATTAGATATAATGTATAACATAGTGCTTTTTATTGTTTTTGAGATGTCTTAAGATAACAATGTATCCTTTTTTATTTTTGACCGATTTAAAAAAGGAGGTGTTTCTCAAGGGAGGTTATTGTTACCTATGTTCCACATATAAATATATGATTTGATTTCAATTCGGTTGGTTTGATTTTTGCCAAACGAATTTCAGCCCTATCCCCCAGTCGTCTAGAACTTGTTCGGGTTGTTGGCGTCTCTAGGCTGGACGTGGATCATGACCTTGATGCCTTGACCCTGGCGAGCCACTTCGTAGGCGGCGAGAGTCTCCTCCATGCTGAAGTGGTGTGTTACCAGCGGTTTGACGTTGAGCTGGCCGTTGGCCACCATTGATAGAGCAATGGGGTATCTGGCGGGAGGAGAGTGTAAGATTAGTTTATTTTATAGTTTATTAGATAGTTCAAGATGTAGGTAGGTATTTGTTTTTATTGTCACTCAAAAGGACTGCACTCATAATTCTCCCTCGTTTTGTTCGTTCGTTTCAGCAAAACGTCAACTGCTGGACAAAGGCCTCCTCCAAGGTTTTCCACAATGCACCGTCCTGCGCTGCACGCATCCATGCTCTTCCCGCGACCTTTACCAGATCGTCGGTCCACCTAGTAGGAGGCCTGCCCATAATTTCCTCTCGTTTACAAATTCATACTTCATTCGTATTCATACGTAGCTCTTCCTGACTTACTCGTAATTGCAATACACCAGCAACCCATTTTCACTCATTCATAACCCATCATCACTCACTTGTTCTCTCGCTTAACACTCATTTACACACTCGGGTTATGGCTGGTTTACACGTATTAGGTAGTTAAATTTTAATTTAATTTTAAGTGATCAAATTGCATCGTAACTAAATTTTAACCTAATTCCAATCGTCAAGCTCTTGTTTACTATGAAACTGCTTGTCAAAACGTGTCAAGTGACAAGCCCCGCCTACCAACTTGACAGAAAATCAAGTAAAAATTTAGTTACTGATGAATTTAAATAAAAATAGTTTAAATTTAGCAGACGCAGTTTTATTGCAGAGAGATTACCACAGACAACAAGATGGCGACATAGAGCGATTTGTCTATTAACTAGAGACGTAACTATACTAGTGTAGATCAGCTGAATCGGTAAATAGGGTTCAATATTAATAAATACAACACTCTCACCTAATTTGAACCCTTGTTCTTTAAACACAATTACTTTAAAACAAATACAAATAACATTTTGCCTCTAAAGTAAACTTAAAGACATAATGTAA